TACCCTTAGTTTGCTATGCTTCTTGAACAGCTTTTACCATACCTGGCACAGAGAAGACTATCAGTAGAACTACCTTATTTAGTTATCAGTAGTCTATGATCTGATCTCTATGAACTGCCTTTTTTCTGAGACCTGACAGGGACAGGACTTCTATATAATTAGTTGTTGTAGACTAATATCCCTGTTTCTACCATTTCTTCAATCAAAGCAGAAATTTATTGTCATACTCTCAGGATTTGATTTTGCTTAATTCTCACTACAGAGGACAGTTTGCAGAAATCTAAAGGTTCTCATTTTATTTCAAATTAGAAATGGGTAGAAGCATACTCAACTAACACCTGATTAGAAATCAGCTGGCAATGTCAAATCCCTCTATTTTTATAACATATCAAATCCAGTAAGACATTTGGATACAGATGACATATCTACAGGGCTTCCCTAGTTTCACATTTTGCGATTTTAATATTACTCTAGTACTCATTACCACAGGATCACATTATCCTCAAATTATCTTGGTCCTCTCAAGCCTCTTGTTGGCATCTCCATGTATTGTGTTCCAGATTTTGGTAATACCAGAAAGCTGTGTTTACCACCTCAAAGCTATTCAATTTAAACCAAGCTTACATCTTTGGATTTCTCTGCTGAAATTTTACGAGTAGATTCTGATCTTCTTTTATCCTACTGTATTAACAGAATTATCCTTTGTACGTTGCTTACCCACTTTATTTTTTCAATACCCTTTTACATATCACAAACAGCAGTAAATAGAACAAATTTGTCGGGTCTTTTCAGTGAGACAATTGTCATTGCCTGAACTACCAAGAGTTTTCAACCTCCTTACTAGGAGCAATTCACATCTTATATGGCACCTTCACCAATTTCTTTCTTTCTCCTTCAACTTGCATTAGCCATAAAAATAATCCCATGAGGCTGGGGCATTTGCAGTTATTTCTTTTCTTTGGAATAGCACTAACCTTTCTTCCATCAATGAGATCCAGGAGTAGCAGTTTGCTAACAAGTTTGTTGTGGCTGTCGGGATAGTACTCTACTCTCCTAAAGCAAAGATTATGCAAGGGCACCAACCATGATGAACCATCCTTATCACTGAATGTACCATAGTTTGTGTTAGAGGTATTTTCCTTTGAGAGTAATTCTGTTGTTTATCTACATTCACTCCAAGGCACCTGCATAGAACTTTCCTACACTCTCTTCAGGTATCTTTCATTTACCACTAGGTGAAAGAATTGTGTGAGTACCCTTTTAGGGTAACGTGTTGAATTCGTTAAGCATGGTATACTATTGTTTTGAGTGAGAAATATATTCTGAAGTTCATAATAGTAAGGTCATGTAATTCCCTCCATTCAGACTGAATGGATTCCCTATCACTAAAAGCATTACTCCCTTGAGTATGGATTCTGAGTATCCAGGTCAACAAAATCTCATCAGGTTCCTGTTGGCAAGATACTTCAATTATTTATCAGTACCCTCTAGTTTCTGTGGTCATCTGGCTTTGTCTTCCCATCTCTTGGATAGTCAGTGGTCACAGTCAGTGACGTCTAGTCGACCAGTAAATATAATATCTTCCAAGTTCCCAGCAAAACTTCTCATGAGTCAACTTCAATTTTACATATTTGCCTCACCTCTTATAAGTCAAGTCTATTTCTTTGTGCTCCCCTGATGAAATTTCTATTTTGCCAATACCATTAATAATAATCAAATCCGGGCACAGTGGCTCAAGTTTGTAATCCCAGCACATTGGGAAGCCAAGGCCAGAGAATTGCCTGAGCCCACATGTTCATGACCACCCTGGGCAATGTAGTAAGACCTTATCTCTACAATAAATCAAAAAGTTAGCTGGGCATGGTAGCACACACCTGTAATTCTGGCTACTTAGAAGACTGAGGCAGGAAGATCCCTGGAGGCCAGCAGGTAGACACTGGGGTGGCCATGAGCATGCCACTGCACTTCAGCCTGAGCAACGGAGTGAGGCTCCAGCTCAAAATAATAATAATAATAATAATAATAAAGCAGTGTTTTTAGCCATTTTTTCCTTATCTCATTTTAGTCCATTAATCCACTTTTCTTAATCCTAGAGATTTGAAAATATATCTTCCAAATTGATAAGATTTGTTCACAATAACTTGCCCCCAAAAAACTTTCACTACGTCAAGCCAAGGATGATTTAGCAGCCATCCCAGCACCAAAGTTTCCAAGGATTCTCCCTATCTATCTTTGTGCATGAGGGTCATTTAATCATAAGACCACTGTAGGAAATTTCAAGCATACAATGAAAACCCAACTCACCCAGTCTTTATTTAGCCACACTAATTACCCAAATTTATTTAGCTTTAAGTGAGAATAGCAAATGAAGCACAACAGCAACATTGCAGAGGTCTTTGGATACTCAAATATAGCTGCCAAGTCTCAGCCACTGATAAAAACTGATATATCAATAAGTACAGGTTAATCTAGCACAGGAAAAGTGCAGGGTCTAAGGTCTCTCCGCTTAAGTAACTGTTGTCACCTAGCATCCAGGGGGGATATTAACCTTGTCTACATTTTTCAGGATAGCTGCATTCCATAAAATGCAGGTTATATAATAAACAATCCTGACAACTGTTACAATATACTTGGGAACATTTAAGAACAGCAATAATTTCAGACCAATCCCAGAAATTTATCCTGAATTCATGCATACTTCAGTTGACATTGCAAGATTGTCTAAATGTGAATTGCTCAGGGAACTTGTAAACTGGAAGAAAAGACTACAGCTCAACTGTTATCCCTTTATATTCAAGGTAATATGACATCGTTGCTGAGATTTTGTTGAAAATAATCCTAATAAAATCATGTATTACTTGTGCAATTATAAAGAGAGCAAGACTGTAAAAATAACAGTTTCTTTTAAAGTTACTCCAAATAAAATATGTTGTACCATGTTCATGAAGAAATAAATTTGTGTACACTTACATAAATAATCAAAGGTATTTGGGTGACTACTTTAAAAAGACTGCCCTTGTAAATTATAGAAAAAATATTTTACTGAAAAATTTTTTTAAATGTTAGGAAACTAAGATTTAGTTTACTGTGTTTGCAAAATGAGTCTCAAGGGCTATATAATATTGTGAAATGTATCTGGAAATACAGAGTTTTTTTATAAGACAGTACATTTAATTATGTGGGATTTTAAAAAATAAATGTTGGTATTGGGGACCTTTTGGAATTAATTTTAAGATCATACAAACAAGTTGACCTTTTACAATAATTCTGCATTTAGCAAACAGAATTAAGTGATAAAAATATTTGTCATATGCCTAAATCTTTAAATAATATTTTAGTCTATTTGTTGAGACTATTAACTTCAGAAAAACTAACATGTTTTACAAATATTAGAAAAACTAGTATGTTTTCATCTTCAACAACTTAGAATTAATTTTTATTATTATTTTTCTAAAGTGTGCTGAGAAAAGATTGCTCAAATAATATAACTGTTTTATGAAGTGTTGAATTACCTATGTCTATATAATAGATATAAAATTGTGCCAGTGAATTATTAGCCACTAACTTACAATTCAGGAACATGATCACTATATATATTTCTACTTATATTTAGAATTCACTGGCACAATTTTTCACTTATATATTTATATATGTAACTAGTTTCTTCTCTCTGATCCAGTCTCCTCCTCCTTCTGCCTGGTCAGCTCCTACTGAAACTGATAGGAATAGTAATGCAATCAATCAAAAAACTGGTCTCTGCGGATGCTTTTTATTAAATTGAAATATTCCTAACATTATAAATTTTGGGGATATCATTCTATGTACAATATCTCTGATAAAAAATAGTTTGTGGTCTTATAAATATAGACTGATTAATTTTGATACCACTCTTTAATTCATGCCAGCTTCCAATTTTCTTCAAAAGATCCACAGATTTTTTTCTGAACTTTTTACTTTTTTTCCAATTTTCATTGCTAAACAGTAAGTTTCTGCTCAGAAATATATTCTATCAATAATTGTAGTTTTATTTTTATCAATCTACCAGAGTACTGTTAATGGTAGAGAACCACAAAGACTTATTAACTCACAGGCCCAGAGCGGTGGACTGGGCTCACTCATTTAAATAACTAAATATACATGCCAGCTTCAATTAGAGCTGTGTCTCAGTAAATATATCTCAGTATGTCTCAGTAAACTTGTCAATTTCTACCTACAGTTTTGGAAGTCCCTAGCAAACAGCTAAATGCTCAGATAAAGCTGGAACACAGGTACCAGGGGCAGAGTCTCAGTTCTGTAATCCCAGCACTTTGGGAGGCTTGAGTCCAGAAGTTCAAGATCAGCATGGGCAAAATAATGAGACCACCACCTCTATAATAAATAAATAAATAAACAAGTAAATAAATAGATACATAAAATAAAATAAATAGCCAGGTGCGGTGGCATACTCTTATAGTCCCAGCTGCTCGAGAAGCTGAGACAAGAGGATCTCTTGAACTTAGGAGTTTGAGGCTGCAATGAGCCGTGATCACGCCACTGTACTACAGTCTGGGTAACAGAGTAAGACCCTGTCTCTTTAAAAAAAAAAAAAAAAAAAAAGAGCACAATATTTCTAAATAAGTTATTTGTGGGTAATATTATTGAACTTCCACTGGACCCATATTCAAGTAAACATAATTCGAAGTTGGTTTTCTTTTACTTTTTTTTCTTTTCCCACAGAGCTCACAGACCATCCTGACCACTAAAACTGATGTATAGGACTTGGAGTTTTTCCAGCAGAAAATAAAGAAGGGAGGAAGGGAGGGGGAACAAGGGATGCAAAGACACCTATTGTACCTTGCTCACCACGGCAGTGGAGGGGCCGGCTAGTGAGAAGCCAGCCCAGACCTCACCTTCGCATGATATACCTATGTAACAAATCTTCGCATGTACTCCTGACTCTAAAATTAAATTAGATTTTTTTTAAGAAAGAAGAAACAGTTTGAAAGTTGTCTGACATCTATTTATTTCTTCATTATTCTCTTCAAAGTACCTATGACTTCTCTGTTCCTCAGGCTGTAAATAAAAGGATTTAGCAGAGGAATTATTATCGTGTAAAATAAAGAATACATTTTGTCCTGATCTTCAGCTGGTCCAGATCCTGGACGCACATACATGAAGAAGAGTGTGCCATAGAACAAAGACACAGAGAGCAGGTGGGCACTGCACGTGGACAAGGCTTTGCTTCTGCCCTTCTCTGACTTCTTTTTCAAGATGGCAAAGAGGACATAGGAGTAAGAGATGAGGATAGTCATAAAAGTAAAGACTTGTATAAAGGCTGAAAAGATTAAGACCAAAAGTGTATTAACTATAGGATCAGTGCAAGAAATTTTGAACAGCTGTAAAAGTTCACAGTAGAAATAATGTATGATATTGGACCTGCAGAAAGTTAGCCTAACTAACAAACTCACATGAATCGCTGAATGCAGAAAACCAATAAAATATGAAACACTTATCAACTGAGTGCAGCGTCTGTTGGACATCACCATTGGGTAAACCAAGGGGTTACATACGGCAACATAGCGGTCATAGGCCATCACTACCAGGAGGAAACATTCTGTAGTTGCACTAGAACCAAAAAAATAAAACTGGATCATACAGTCAAAGAGGGATATCACATGATTCTTCGATAAAAAGTTGATAAGCATCTTAGGAGTCACAGAGGATGAAGTGCATGTATCTGCAAAGGCTAAACTGCCAAGGAATAAGTACATGGGGGTGTGAAGGTGAGCATCCTTCCAGATGAGAGCCATCAGGCCAAGGTTGCCCACCATAGTAATGAGATAGATCAGCAAGAACACCAGGAACAGGGGCACCTGCAGCCCTTGACAATCTGTAAGTCCTGTAAGGACAAACTCCATCACCAGAGTCTTATTTTCTTCTGCCATATGTGACCTGGCCAATCACTACAATGAAAGAATAAGTAAGGAAACCATCAAAAAAGTCATAAAAATGGTGACATCATTACATGACTCACATATTCCCAGGAGGTACATCTTATTTTATTAGTAGTTTTAAATGTCTGCCTTATTTGTCTAAGTGTATAAACACTCGAAATTCTCCATAATAACAAGTCTTAAGATGTTAACTCTCCTAAAGTGACATGTAAATTTAATACAAATTATTTCCAACCTAGCAGAATTTTTTAGCACTGAATACACTTATCTTAAAGTTCATATGAAAAAAATAGCTTCCATGTTTACCCAAGAAAAATATAAAAACTGATAGTTCAATACTTTAATTACTATTGAACTATAATAGAAAGCCATAATCATCAAAACATTAAGATATTGTCATAAGAGTAGACAAGAGGATCTGTGCAAGAGAAAAGAGAGCTCAGACATAAACTCTAATACACACGAGAAGTGGCATAAGACAAATATGATATTTCAATCCAGTAAGAAAAGGATGATTGATTTAATGAATAGTGCTGGCGCTGTTGGCTATATGTCCTAAAGTAAATTAGGTTAGATTCCTACCTCATAACATAAATATTTTCTAAGAAGTTTAGAAGGTAATAATGTAGCATAGAATTAGATAAATCCTTATCCAAAAAAAGCCAGTATAAAAGCGTAGCTACTGCATAATTTTAATACATAGCAAAAGATTATCTAACAGAATCAAAAGGCATATAACAGATTGGGAAATGTATTTTATCATGCGTATGAAAACATAGATTTATGTCTATAATATTAAAAACAGTTTAAAATAGATAAGAATATGAAAGATATAGATTTATGTCTATAATATTAAAAACTTTAAAATAGATAAGAAAAAGCAAACAATCTAAATGAAGAATGAGCAAAGGCTATGAATAAGCAAGTTTACAATGAACAAAGTAAAATGGCCAATAAATGAAAAAATGCCCAAATTTCTATGCCATAGATAGAGACAGAGAGAGAGAGAGAGAAAGAGAGAGATTTTCATTAGCAAAGATTAGCAGAAATTAAAATGAATAAAAATACCCATTGCTGACTGAGATGTAAAAAGTGAAAAACCTTTTTGAAAAGCAATTTTATATAAGCCTATTAATTTTTAAAAATGCATATACCCAGCCGGGTTCGGTGGCTCAATCTGTAATCCCGCGCCTTTGGGAGGCTGAGGTGAATGGATTACTTGAGACGGGTTCGAGACCCGCCTGGGCAGCGAGACCTCATCTCTACAATAAATCAAAAAAATCAGCCAGGCGTTTTAGCGCATATCTGTAATTCCAGCTACTTGGAAGGCTGAGGCGAAAGGATCGCCGGAGCCCAGCAGGTCGAGACTGCGGTGGCCTGGAGCGGCCACTGCACTCCAATCTGGGTGACAGAGTGAGACTCCAACTCAAAAAAAAAAAAAAATACGTATACCCTTCAATCCACTCTTTGGTCATACATATATATATCCTAGAAATAAAAGCACCACCACTCAAATATAAATATACAAATAATATCCAATGCATTGTTGTTCAAGGTGTCAAAAACCAGGCATATCCACAGTGAAATAACTGGATAATCACAGTACATTCATACTATGGGACAAAATTCAGTTATGAAAAAAAGAGCTATATCAATTGAGTTGAGAATGGCCACAATGTATAGTTAGTTATCTGAAAAGAGTAAAATACAGTAAGAAATAAATAATATGATCTCATTATTGTAGAACAAGCAATGCATTTTTTATTTCTCTTTTGCATGGAGAAAAACATGGATAATACAGATTTTATTTTGAATACACTCCTACCTCTTTAAGATGCTATTCATTATGAAGTTTTCTTTATAGAGGTTAATTTAAGTGACTTTTTATGAAGCCTGTGCATCTAGGTATGTTGAAGCTAGGAGGATTTTCTTTAGAATACTCTTTTGCATGTAAAGCACAAACTATATCAGTTTAAGTGTACCTCCTTTTAATTTTCTTGAGGAAGATCAGCCACAAATATTTTGTTGAAGGGAAACTAGTAGTTGCTTTAAAGAGCACAGCCCAAATAAAACAAGGACTAGATGTAAAGAAATAACTTTATGATTTAAAAGAAGAGCTGTTGCTTTGGCAGTATTTAAAAGAAATACTGCTGGAAAATTTCCAATTTCTACTACATTCACCATCTCTAGTGAGATTAGACATATGTTGACGTTATGTTTTGATTTGGCACACAGCATGATCAATGATGGTTACTCGCCTAGTACAAGACATGGAGAAGAAACCTTTGGACACAGAGCAGATGACACCTCCTGTTTTTGTAATGTATCCTGGCGTCATTTTCTGTGAATGAGGTCAGGTAGAGTTGTTTTGGTTGTTGTTGTTGTTATTGTGCTTTTTTTTTTTTTTTTTTTTGGTCTCTTTTGGTGGAAAATGAAAAAAGATTTTGGATAATAGACACTAAGTTTATAACACTATTTTTTCTGGTACTGGAGTAGGGATAGGCATGGAGGAAGTGGAGACAAGGGCAAGAGGGATAAGTCAAAATACATAATTTGCATCAGAAAAGCAGTACATACATTACTATCTCTTTTACAGAAAATTGTGTAACATAATAATGCAGCTGTATTGGTGCCTATATCCATATATAAAAGATGTGAGAAAGAGTGGTCTTAACATGTAATCATGGAGAAAAGAAACAGGAACTGTGAAATCCTGTGGTGGCCTTTTTATGGAGATGCTTTAGCACTGAAAATTATAGTGTTAAATTAGGAGGTAATAATCTTTAAATTTTTCTACCTAAATATCAGTTAAATGAAGAGATAGCATTCAGGTAAATTAACATAATGTTGTGGATATTATCAGTGGAGAAGATTTTTGAGCATTGAGAGTAGATGTGATTTTTAAGACTCCAAAGTTACTGTAATTGTATAAGATAGGAATTCAAATAGAGCAATAGGGTTTTTTAGAGATTTTTAAAAATAATTTCAATATTATTGATATTAAATTTATTCCTGTATACTTTATTTCTTGTCACTGCTATGATCATAATATTTAGTGTTTGCACGAAGTAAGGAGTGGTTTTCTCATGATTTATAGCATCTATGAGAATTCTATAAAAATTACCTTGAGAAGAAAAATAAATAAATTGAGGCAGCCATACAGATTTTAATAGCATTGTCATGTATAAAAAACATTTTTCATAACTTTGTAGTCATACTTCTCAATATATGGGGAACATGAAAATCTTTATGATGAGAAATATTAGAGAAACTTGATTTGTCTGATTTTAAATATAAATAAAGGCTATTGTTTTAAAAATTCAGTATCTGCATAAGTAATAACTGTGAGATGTTATTCTATATTCACTAAAAATAAATGAAGAATAAATGGGATTTTGAATTTTTACTTTTAAAAATATACCCAAGAAAAAAAAATATATATATACCCACAGAGAGCCCTGGAATTACAACAGGACCCAAAATATAAATTATAAACTAAGAATGCCGCCTATTTTTGCCTAGGATAAACTGGACCAATTTTCTTTATAATTTCAAATAACTGAATTGTTGATATTTCTAGTTTTCATTTCTACAATGTATAATTTAGCCAAGAATTAGTAAGATTTATGAATTTCTTTCTCAAGTTATGTGAGACACAATGAGCCTATTGAAATTACCTTCAGCGACTTTAGCCCATACTCCCATGATTCCACGAAATTAAAAAAAAAATTATTACATTTGGTCAAAACTTAGGCCAGAATTTTCCATTCTGAAAATTACAAATAAGTGAAATTTGAGCAGCATAACTTATACCTCAATTAAGAAAACTTTTCACGTTATAAAATAAGCTCAATGTTGGATTTTTATATCACGAATATTTAAATGTTCCATTTTTCATTCTTCTATTAATCAAAGTTTATTTTAAAGCTTCTCAAAAATAAAACAAAAACTTCCCAACAATTGTGTTACCTCCACTGTAAAAATTCTAACTGCATGTTCAGAAGGTCGTTTACTTCTGTCCAGATTTTCATTGCAGAGCTTTTTAAAATTTTGGCTAGGATTTCAAAATCTTCTTTAAATATTTTGTTATTTTACAGACAAATTGCAAAGCTGTAACAATAAAAATTATGAAAATCCCTGCACTCTCACCCAGTTCCTATAAAACACTGAGAAATTAGAAATGTGCTCATTGTTTGGAAGTAACATAAAAGGAACAGAAATAAAGCAATATTAATGTATACCAATTTTCCTTGAAAATCTTAGACTGGAGGGAGATAGCATTTCTCTCTTCTATTTTCAAATCCTTTCTTTAAAAAAAAGTTTTAAATCCCCTCAATGTTTCCAAGGGATTCCCAGTAGGATGAAGTCAAAGTTGCTCTATTGGGCATTGTGAGTTAATCATCAAATCATCCATACACCCCTAGTCATAACAATTAAAACTACACATGGTGTCCTCAGGGTTCACTGTAGGGGTATGTTTATAAAATATTTCCAAACAGAGTTTATAATAAGCTTGTTTTTCTTCCCCCTATTTCTCTTAGTGATGTCATAACTCAACTATCTAATTAAGTTGACTTTCATTTGGAAATCCCAAAGGTACCTTAGAGCTAACATGTCCAGATCTTAGACTGAGATCTTCCCCAATTCCATCCCAAAACCTGATATTCTTCCAGTGTTCCCTGTCTTAGGGTCAGGGTCACCAAACAAGCATTTATGCAAGTCATATACACATCTTTAACACTAATCTTAGCCTCAACTTTATTGTTTTGACCACTGCCAAGTCCTCTAGATTTTATCCTCTGACAATGTCTTAAATTCAGCTACTTCTTTCCATCTCCACATTTACCCCCCAAAACCAAGATGCATTCACCTCTTGAGCCTGGACTCATTCAAAGCCTCCTAACTACATTATCTGCATCTTCTGATGCAGTCATCCAATTCATTTTCCATGCTGACTCCAGACAGTGCACAATTCCACCACCACTGCAAAA